TGATGCATATTATTCTTATTATTTCTTGGATAATTCAGTCTAACAACTCCACATGGTACTAATATCAAGCGATTATCCAAGGGTATTTGAGCTGCATAACATCCACAGAAAATCTGCAGGAGTCTTATTGATACAGTTCCCATATCAAGTCCGTGTCCCTGATTAACACTAACAACTGGGCAGAACTGAGCTTTTAGAGCCAGCTTGAAAGTTAGATATCAGAGAAAGTACTTCTTGCACATGTAAGTATATACCCTGCAACCAATGAACATGGTTTCATTAAATCAGGTTGTAAAAGCGAGGTTCTGGCAGTACTGATAGTGGATACAAACAGATAAAAGAGGACGAATGCTGATCTGTATGGACACTGAAATTATTGTGTAAGGACAGAGCAGTGATTCCCACCTCTGGTCCCTCAGAGCAGGCATTTCAGAGGGAGGAGGCCAACTGGAAGCAGGGAGATAAGGAATAACCAGCCCAAGATTAAATTTCCAGTGAAGGAACTGGGAGGAAATTTATGCACGCAAATATTAGCCCCAAGATCAATGCTCCCTCATTTTTCACATGTCTTCAATTATGCCTCCTACATCTCCATGTCTGTAGGTATTACACAGACCCAGGACAGCTTTACTAGCGTTGTAATAAACCACCATACTACACAAATGGCATTTCACCGCCTATCTTGAGACAGAGTGAATTACAGAGCATGTGATGATGAACAGAAGGTCCCCCCAAATGATACTCTCAGCCTAAGTTTCCATGGCTTAATCTGTGTTTTGGTTTCAGGGGGAAGAACTCCATGGTGGCATGTTGTTTTAGTGGTTGGAGCATGACATAAAGTAAAACCCTGAAGTTCAAAGTGCCTAGCTGTTTACAGGAATCCCACCACCCGAGAACTGGCAGGAGCGTCCCAGATTACTCATTTGCATTAACTCTTTAGATAAACACTTCCCTGTTCAGTGTAAGGTCGAGCTGCACATTCCCTGACAAAAAAACCCATGTTCAAAAGTAAACACGACGTACGTCTGAATTATGGGCTTAAAAGATATATTTACACAAGGGCAGCTCATCATGACAAGTTTGTTTTCCCAGGTAGCAAGTTCTCCTCCTATGAAGGGATCTGGGGGGAATAATTACTACAGAGCACAGATCTAATATTAATGAGTGACAGGGCAGTGCTAAGCCATGCCAGCTATGCAAGATGCCACGGTGAGGGCGGCTTCTTAACTCATGCCCTACAGTGAGCTGGGAAGGCAAAGGAGCTGGCAAACACACCGGTTTTGCTGCAGTGCTGCTTCCGAGAGCTGGGCTGGGAAAGCGATCTAATGCTCTAATGACAGAAACACCTACGTCTCCCACATACCCCATCATAAATTACTGGCATCAATTGAATTTCCATGATGTCAAGCAAGTGTGAAGGAAAATAGACTGCAGCTGAATGGAGGACGGGAGCGTGGAGCAGAAACACAGGAAAGCGCAGTCGGGTTCGCTTTCTCTTTGCTCTCCCCAAAGGAGGCGGCACATTTAAAAGTCAGAATTGAATCAGAAGCTCAGCTCTCAGTGAGAAGTGTTCAGAGGTTCCACTCAGGAGCAGCCCTGGAAGCCCCCCACATTTTATACCATGTTATAATTACATGCATCTAGCACTGAAGGTTAAAGCAAGGTAAAAGTGCATTTACAGTGGATAACATCCACAGTGAGAGAAGCATCAGGGTATCTGTGTCTCAGGTCTGGAAATAACTCTAGTCTACAAACTGCTTTTAAAGCCAACTCATCAGTAATCATTTCTATAGCAGATTAGAAGTCTGAATGTTCAGAGACTTGTGCTTGCAATGCAGGACACAAACTGCTTCATGCCTGTAGGGCTTTTTCTGTTTTACAGTTAAGCAGCAAAGTTACAGCTGACATCATTCCCATGTTCCAGATTTGATTTTCCCACAAGTTTTCTAACTTCTTTTTTAAGCTGCAAAATGAACCCCTTCTTTCACTGCTCTTTTCAGGGGCATTTTCCCTGGCTGAGGCTGGGGGATGCTCACACAAGCAGTTGGGCTGTGGATGCAGAGGGGCAGCCTGGAAGCAGTGCCCAGGAGCATCCTCATCAGTGCACTTGTGCCTGGAAGAGGTCAGTCCCCTTCTCCATGGCTCAGTTTCCACATCTGCAAGAAGTGAACCTGGCAACATGAATCCCTCTCCATAAGCCTTGTATGAACTCCCAAACCCCAGCAGACCGCCAAGAGTTTCTAAAGCAGCAACTAATATGTGGTGCCAGACCTTAGACAACTGATGTTCAAGGGGTGGATGGTCTTAAAGACCTAGCAAGACCATCATTAACTTCTTAGCTCTAGCCACATGCTGAAAATGATTAGCATCTCAAGTGCTGGTCACACCATCTTCTTCTGGCCATAACAGGATTAACATAAAGCAAGAAATGCAAATAGAACTGGAAAAAATCATCTGTCTCCCTGTTGCAGCTAGTAAGTATTATTTCTAACCCTGAGCTAGCAACGAGATGACAGATAGGGCAGTAAGGCCAACTGAAGTATTTTTTGCATTGATTTAAAGCAGAGAAGCCACATTTGGTACTTTATCAATTCCAGTGGAAACCAAGGATCATGGAACTAAAAGATATTAATCACTGTGGATTAGCGAACCCAAGGCTTCTATTAATTTCCCTGCCGGTTCCCTTATCTTCCCAGATTTTCCTGTCATTCCCGTAAGACTTTCCTTGTAAATTTTGCATTTAAAGCTGTAAGAAGGCCATTAGGAGATGGCAGGAGTCCTGTACTTTTCTCGTAATGAATTCTCAAGTTACCCTGGGTTTTCCTATGCCAAACAAGCTGAAGCCACACACAATTAGACTTCGCCTACCCTGAATAGACATTCTTCAGGAGGATCTTCTATTTTTAAGTCAGCTACTGCAATAAGCTGGCTTTACAGCCCCTTGTTATTTGGTATAAAAATAACACGTTAGGAACAACTGCAGTGTAAACAGAAGCATGGCACCTTATTCATGCAAATAATAATCTGGGGTTTGTTCTGATTGGGAATAGGTGAATGAGGGCACACTGGAAGCTCTTACTCTCCAGCCAGCCAGCCTGGGCAGCTACTGCTCATGCTGCTCACACCACAGCTTTCCCATTCACTTGGGGTTCTTAAATGCATCGTAAGCAGAGGTGGTAGAGCTTGGCACATGGAGAAGACTGCCTTTTTATTCCCCTCTCATGTAGGATTAAAACCAATAATCATTTGTCAACCTAAGAAATCTAACCTGGGAAGCTGCATTTCTTCCCTCTCCTTTGCAGGGCAAATGGGGGCAGTTTTTCCCTCTCCCCACACAGCTGCTGCTCCAGCAAAATCTGAGGAGCTGTAGCAGCTGATGGGGCTTAAGCAGAAGGTACCATTCATTACACCCATCTAAAGATGACTTCAGTGAATTAGAAGAACTAGTTCTACAGGAGAGAACAGCACTTAGACTTCTCTTACAGGACCCCCACAGTCATGCAAGCACAAGATGAGCCACATCTTTTAGGCTCAGGGCATGTCCTGAGCAGTCTCGCAGCTGATGCTCTAGTGAACATCAATTCAAACCTTAAGCATCCACCTCCTTACCAGTGCATGAGTAGAACTACAGAGCCCCAGGAGACAAAATCTTCTATCACCACATAAGCCCCCATAAACAGACCATTTGCTTCAGTTAAACCCCCAAGGATTTTAGATCATAATAATATGAATTGTCCCCACCCACTCACCGCTTATAAATTGAGTCAACTCAGGTCATATTTTCAAACTTCTTTCTACAACCATCAGAACTTCCCATCTCAATAAACACTTGAATATAGTCCATTGATGTCAAGTGCTGAGCCCTGGGCTGGCCAGCACCATTCCCCTGGGTCTAAAAGCTTTAACTCACGTCAATTTCAACTCCATACCATTCAATTTAATGCAAATACTGGTTTCACAGTGCTGCACACAGTGGTTGAACAACCCTCTAAATTGAGAAAATGCTCTGTGAAAAAGAGGAGTTATTGTTGGTGATGTTATTACATTTAAACTTTCGTACATTCCATTTACAGGTTGTACTGAGTAAGGCAAAAATCAACACATTTTGTTATTTTTCTTTGTTATTTTTACTGTAGTTTCGCAATTCAGCAGCTTATAATAAATAGTGGCTTGAGGGAAGCTCTGCAGGACAAAGTTCCTTATTCAACAGCCAGGCAACGGACAACTTAGTACCTTTGCGTTATTCTCCTATAGCCAGGAAAAAGAGCCACTAATGATGCTCAGACTGGTGACAACACCTATTTTTCTTGAGGAGTAAAGAGGGATCCAAAACTAGTCATTACCTTATGCACAAGGGAGGAAGAGGAGAGGGAAGTAGGAGGAGCACAGAATGTTTCTTTGATTTTATGTGAGAACCTTGCAGACTTTAGCAAGAAGCTGCTTACTACGCCGGCACCTCAGTATGCCAGAATCACCCTGGAAAAAGCTTATCTTTGCATTCCCCAAGTCCCATTTTAAAATGGTTAAACATGTCCACACTGTCATTTGTTTCCTTCTGCACTGAAAAGCCTCCCCGTTTGTAAACCTTTCCCCCCTCAATCCACAAAGTGAGCATATAATATATTACAGGTTGATTTCCTTTGATATAGCCACCACTCACCCAGCTGTCTTTGTAAGCCCTTTTACCCTGCTCCCAGGCCATCTATTAAACAGCTCCCAGGCAGACCACGGAGCTGGGCAGCAGGATATCTTTGCAATAAGTCTTAAATTGAAAGCTCTGCTGCATCTCCCCACTGTGAGGGCCTGCTGAGATAGGCTTCTTTTAATATTGCCTTAATAGGCTCTTCAAACTCAGTTAATTAAGTTCAGTATATCTAGACAGATTTTCATTGCCTGCAGAGACCATGTGTCTTGGCAAATGGGAGCCTAGTCCTGCAACAGTTATTATCAATAGAGGTTTAGGAGAAGTGATTATAGCACTCGTGAGAAAATGTAATCACCTTCTATGATTCCGCTGGCTCTGCACATTTGGGATGGAGATCGTGCTCCTGAGCAGGAGGAGCCCAACCTGGAGCCATGGCAAACCATCCTGCTGGGGCTGGAGAAACGCATCTTCAGAGGCTTGGACCAGGGAAACTGCCCCTGCTCCTCGCATACTCTTAAAGACAGGAGCTGCTGGGGCTGTTAATCACTCAATTAGGCCCTAATTATCAACACCCGATGCATCAAAAGGCCTCCAGTGGTCAGGGAAAGGTTGCAGCCATTCACTTTGACAGGTGATCCCTTCTCCATGCACAATGCCCACAAAGGGCTTGGTGGAGCCGCGGGCTGCAGGGGGGATTTGGGGCTGCCCTGGGGCTCCGGTGGAGGATCAAAGCAGCTGATGGCAGACTGGCTGCTTCCTCTGTCCCTGCAAGATGGAGCACGGGTTTGTGGATTATTTACCCGGCACTGGGGCTGAAATGAAAGTCCTGGCTCCAGGGGACAGGGCAGGAGGGATGCGGAGTCTGCTCCTTCCACTGATGAGGCTAAGGCAGGCTGAGATGTTAGTGAGCCGGGTCACAAAGCCCGCGTGTAAAACCAGCCGGCAGAATTCACAGCCTCCAAATTGACCCCTGCGGGTCAGACTCCTCTCTAATTGTAATAATGTCTCATACTGAAGACTGGCATTAAGGAGAGACCTTTCCAGCAGCTTGGGTTGGACTGAATAGAGCCCTGTTACCAGGAAGGAGCCTGCTGGAGGCTCCTGAGCCACTTCTACTATAGGCACATCTACAGAGCAGTGAAAACAAAGAGAAAAGACAATTCTGGGCCAGAACTCCCTATTTCGAACAAGGTACAAATAGAAACACCATCCTTTGAAACACTGCACATTAACACTGAGAGCTGGGAATGCACCCCTCTTCTTTCCTTCACATGCAAATACATGGAAAATACCTGCCCCCTCCTTAGTGTTAAATAAGTTGCTTTGCACATATTTGGGAATATTTGCTCCCTCCTTGGGCTTTTTCAGTGTAAAGATGACCTTCAGCAGCTCCTACATTTCCTGACAAGGCTAAAAGATCTTATCCATTGCTTTGTATCGGTTCCAGTTAATAACTGTAATGAATAACTTTATTAATACAGTTAATAACTGTATTGATTTTGGTTTAATAACAGCCTGTAATAATGATTAATGCATTTCTAATACTTAACATATGCAGCTTAATTGTTCCATGAAAGTTGTGCTTTCATAGAGCAACAAAGCCCTTGGATGGAAGCATCACAAGAATAAAAGATGATCAGCTCGGAGCAAGAACATTCCAGCCTTTACAAGGGCGTAAATAGGCAGTGGAAAACCGAGTCCAATAATCTGGCATTATAGGATGCTACAATAATACAATAATTCTCTCACCCTTTCCAGTCCCGGTCTCATTTCCTGGGTTTTAGCGTTACTCCGGGTTATATCGGCATGCAGTGAGTCAGCCTGTATCAATTTTCCTAATCCTCACAAAATGTTGATCATTTGTTCAGCTGTTCTTTTTTAGCAGAGTGACAGAACAAATGTGTAAGCAGGTTTTTAGGTTAGGGGTTTTTACTAACAGCTTCAAACTGGCATCCAGCTGAAAGCCTGTGATGAGGGATTTTAACTCCAGTACCCTTAGTAAAGGCACTGGATGGCATAATTTTATCCTCAACAATGTGATAAAAGTTGGGATGGGATAAAAAGGATCTTCCAGTCACCTCAGGGTTCCCTGAATTTGAATTCCTAAATTCCTGCCTGCCTCAGTCCTCTGTGTAACAGCGATTAGTCAGCACTGACTCCTATGTGCTCTTTCACACTTCTGAGGCTCATTTCCACGGAGGTGGAACACTGCAGATCAGAGGCACAACAGGAGCCCAGCATTCCCAGGGCACTGTTCAGGACTCCCCACTTCAACCAGTGCTACTAAAAGTACAGGGGAATAAAAATCCTCAGTGGTTATGAAGGAGCAATCCAGAGAGAGAAATACACTCTCCAGCTCCGAACCCTCAGCTTCGGTGCATCTTTTCACCCCTAGGATCTTGATGTCATAGGCTAGCCAAAGATCTCACACGCAATCCCTTTTATCCTTTTAGGATTTCTTGTCTAGGTCTGCAAGCAAACATTCTGTAGAAGTGACAGGTTATTTAAAAGAGTACATAGAAGGTGCTGCATATAAGCCATATTTATAAGTCTAATACATAATAGATTCCTACAGGGAAACTCCTAAGCTGGAAACCCTGAGTTATTCTTGCAAAGCCTGAGCACAGTGCCAGCATATCTTACAGATGCGTCAGCCATTCTTTCACCACCTAGGATTAACTCTAATCGAAAGTGACGTTCAAGACAATCCTCATAGCCTCTTGTTTGTTTTCTCACTATAGGCCAGACGATTTTACCTGCTGATTCCTCATTGCAATTCCACAAAACACTACAAAGAAAAGTACCTTATGTTCTTCCCAGAGTCCCAGCATTATGAGTTTATGTGGAAGAACGACGGGTGGAGAGGAACTGGAGGAGTTCAAGGGTGAAGAGGTTTCTTACATTCACTTTTTCCTCTAAAGATGTACGTTAGATATTACTATGTGCATTGATAAGATCCCCTCTCAGTCACCTTTTCTCCAGGCTAAGCAGCTCCAGCTTTCTCAGCCTTTCCTCATTAGAGAGATGCTGTCCATCACAAACTCAAGTGATGGAATCTTTGCATCAGTACAAAATATGTGGAGTGCTGGTGTCCCTTAAAGCTCTGTGCTGAACAGTGGCTTTCCTCGTAGTGAGCTGTCAGCTCCCCAACCCTCACCTTGTTTATAATTTACCACCTAGAGTTTGCAGTGGAGCTTTTGAATGTACTCCTGAAGACTAAAGCAACACCCTAGTTAAGATGCTCCAAAGATGCAATATACTTCTGTAGACATCTGCACTATGTAGTTAACCGAAAGCACAAGATGTGGTAGAAGAGGATGCATGGGGGAACCAATGGGCTGGGAAATACATGGGAGCAAGAGAGGGGCTCTCCCACAGATGGGACTTGAGTGCTGAGGAACAACTTGTGACACAGATACAGCAAAAGGCGGCTTGGATTCAAACACAACCTCTTGACTCACAGACTAAGCAAGGAAAAAAGTGGTACGTGATCAGAGCATGACTAACCCTGGTCTCTGCTGAGCCCTGTGGCTTGGACACTCTGCTAAAGATTTGGTTGTAAGCTGACATTTTTCGCTCTGATTAATCCTTTCCGTCCCTGGTCTCAGCTGACTCGGCTGAGCCCATTGGAAGCCATTGTTCAGCTCTGTGAACTTTATCTCTTTTTAGTGCTTAAACAGAAGACCCCTTCTCCCCCCACCTCATCCTTCTTGCTAAAAGCCTGTTTGTAAGAGCCATAATGAAACTCCAGGTGGCCTGGTGATTTTGAAGTAATCCCCTCAGGGATTTAAAGCACTTGGTTATGCCTCATGCATTGTAACAACCCATGGATGTGATTTTCCTCTTTCTTTCCGCTGTGCTGTGTGATTTAATAAGTGTGGGGCATTAGATGCTAAAGGGGTACTACTAATAAAAATACAATCAAAACAATTCCTTGAAACACAACAAACTGCAGTGTGTGTGTATGGGCAGCAGATCCAGTGGTTCTCCACTGAATGTTGTATTATCTCCTGAGCCAACCTCCACTGAAGAGAACAGCAAATAGCTCTAGAGCAAGGTCCTAATCCCACCCCCAACGCCCAGGCACCCATATCAGGGGCTACATCTGGTCCCAATTGGTTTTTCCCTGTCATGTACTGAAACATCACCCTGGCTGTGCTGCCAAGCCAGAGCATCCTTGAACTTGGGAAACAGGGAGAGTCAGGTCTGAAACATTTCACCTGGGCCCCTTCTCTAAAGAAAACAGGAGAGGAGCAGAGCAAAATGAGTTCTCAAGGCTGAAAAAAAGGGTTTCAGTGTATTTGGTGAGTTCCCAGAGGTCTGTTTGCCACGTGTGTAAAAGGCCAAGTCAGGCACAACAGATGAGAATAACACCTATGGGGTTCAGGGTGCCACCAGGCTGCCACTGCCACCTGGGACTTCCAGTAATTCATATCCTAGCCTGTGCTCTGACAGCAGAACCCATTCAGCTCTTTACTAAAGGTGAGAAAGGTGATGGAGCCTTTTGCTAAAGGCTCCTGGGATCAGTCTTTGCATCAGCTGAGAGCTTACCCCAGTTGATTAAGTTATTCTGGATATTTCCATGGATTAGAGAGAACTGTTAATACTGTTAACAGAACAAGAATGAGAACAAAAACCAGACAGCAACTAAAGGGGGGCTTACCTATTACCTCTTAATTAGTAATAGCAAAATAGGACCTATATGGCCCTACACCCTACTCACCATCCTCTTAAACATCTGGTGCCGGTCACTGTCAGACCTGGGCTACCAGTCTGAAGGGATTACACATCTAATTCATTGCAGTCACCCTCATCTTCCTCGTGGTGAGTTCCTGGGGTGCAGAGCATTGTCCTCGATTGGTTCCACCAGAAAGGAATTTTCATGGGAGAGCCGGAGTGAATAAATTACCAGCAAATTGCTATTGGCAGAGTGAGATCAGGAGCAAGGAGAGAAGGACCTGGAGAAAGGGAAGGAAAGAGAGAAAGGAAGAAAGCATCTTTGGTGCACATTGAATTGCTTGCCTCATTTTCATTTGAGACTCCCAATCAGGGGCAGCAGCTGCTCCGATGATGTATTACAAACGACTTATTGCTGCAATGCATCATGAAGCTCCATTGCCCTGATGACATGTTACCATAATACATCATGAGAGCATTGCCCAGCAGGAACAGGAGTCCTGGAAACCAAACAGCTCCATAAATTTCGCATGGTTCCCCCCAAAATTGTTGTGAATTTCTTTTCTGCTCTATTAAAGATTTAAGCTTCGAAAAGTGTGGGCCAGAGCAGGCACTCATTAAACAGGCTCCGATGGTTTCATAAGTCCCCTAAGTCATTAAAGGTTTTAATATACGAGATTAACTATTGCTATTGTTGCTTGGCAAGAATAAATTATCTTTAAATACCTTCCTATGCCTCCTGGTAGTGAGTCAGGAGCTCGAGCTCATGTGTGAGGACAACCCTGGCTGTGGAGA